TGCTGCCATGCTCCCTGCCATGACAACAACAAACTGAACCTCTGAAACTATAAGCAAGTTCCATTTAAATGCTTTCCTTTTTAAGAGCTGTCTCTTTGCAGCAACAAAACACCAAGACAGCATCAGTCTGACTGGTTCTTCCTAAACAAATAATTGTTATTGAGCATTCTTATAGCTAAATGCCTAAGCACTGAGGACATAAAGGTCATTGTGAGACACAGGCTCATAGTAAACATTAAATGCTACAGCAAAGAAAGTGCCCAGCTTTATTGGATCACAGGGTGGCAGAAAATAGACTGCCTTAGAGAACTGAATAAAACCCCCAGTGCTTGCTTGTGTGGCAATTAATGTAAACCTAAATGATGAGAAAGTTGCCTTGAAAAGGTCTGAAGTGAGGGGAGGGCAGAGCAAAGGGAACTCATTCCAGGTAGAGTGAGAAATCTGCTCTAGGGCTGGCATCTAACATTGGGTAAACAGGCACAAATAAATGCAGGAAGAGGAGGAGACAGGTATGGATATGCTTGCAAGGCATTTGTGCTGAAAAAGATAAGATGGAGGGTTAAGTTTTGTAAAGGGCTAAATTAAGTAGATTCACCTTTTAAAACATTCTGAATGTTAAAGGTAATAAGGAGGAGAAGTTTCTGGTGCCAGTTGGGTTTGTCTTACTGGAAGAAATGGAAAGGGTTGGCATAAGGGTGGTAGTGATATGCAAGAGAAAGCATTTCACCAGCTGCATAGAAGGTTGTGATGAACTGCTTATGGGAGCCTGGCAAACACAGACAGGAAGGTCATCTGGGCTTATCATAGCACCCAGAAGACAGAGGACCATTTACTAAGAAGGGTTTGATAGAGAAGATATGAATATGGGAGTAGTCTGTGAAACAACTAAACAGGAGTTCAGGTCACATGACCATGAAAAAATTCTGAAAACTATTTTTTTAAAATGGAGTGATGTGGTGTAAACACACAGCCCTGAACTACCTTAGGCCATCACTGCACATTTCTTAACTATGTTTAAGTGAGATGATGGTGAGGAGTCAGGAGTGTAGTGGGTCGGATTGTATGCTGCAGAGAAGAGGGATGGAGTCCTAACTCCTGGCACTCTGAAAGTTGCCTTATTTACAGATAAAGCCTTTGCAGGTTAATCAAGTCATACTGAATGGAAGTAGGCTCTGCATCCAATAACTGAGTAGTGAGATGGTGGGGGACTCAGAGACACACAGAGGCATGGCAGAGAGGCAGGTCACATGGAAACACAGGCAGACTGCAAAGAATGCTTGGAGTCATTGGGAGCCAGAAGAAGCAAGGCTGGCCCTTCTGGACCCCTTAGCCAGTCACTTCCTAGTACTATAATACAACAGCTATTAAGGAGACGAACCCAGGGACAGAGCATATGTTCTCATCTTCAGAGAGAATTAGGACAAAAGGCCAGGCATATACAAGGCACTAAATGAAAATAAGATAGTAAACTGCCTCCCAAATTTTGGGAGTTTTAACTAAGGTCTTAGATTCAGTTTAATCATTTAAAAAACAGGACCAATTGTACTTAACTCCATAAGGCTGCACATGTGGGTAGAGTCAAGAAGCAGCTTATTGTGTCATTATTGGCACATATCAGCTACTATGTGTCCATAAATATTAATCTACTACTATCTGGTAGCCTATCATGTTTATACACAGTATTATTACTACTCCAGTGTCAAGCCATGCACTGACATGCACCTCAGTCCTCAGAAAGAAAAGCAGGTTTAAAGTCTGGGGTTGTTCCAAAGTGGCTTCCACCTGGGGAGGCATTAGGCCACTGAAGATGGTTTTGTGATCAGTGGGAAGAGGTGGATGGTGGACAGCGATCAGGGATACTACTTAACACTATGTCACAGGACCACCCCACAACAAAGTTGCACAGGCCCTGTGTCCTGTCAATACTGCTGAGTTCGGGATCTAGTGGATCCAAGTAGCTACCAGTCACAGCTTCAAACACCAAAGAATTAGCTTTCTCATCAAAAGTAGTCAAATTAAATATATCCCTTTGGAATTTGGTAGAATAAACTATTAATAAAATGACTAACAAGCAATCCAGACCTGATAAAAAAAATTTAATGTTTTCTTCTAATCTAAAAAAAAAAGTAAAAAATGAAAGAAAAAGAAAATAGACTGTTTTTGAAAACAACCCCCATGGAGTCTGCAAACACCAGCTATATGTTGAAGGACCATACATTCATCGAGCTAAGGAATGTGTGTCGTATACTCTATCTGCCAGTCTGAACTGGAGGAGGAAACATAATGGTCTTCCCATGGAGCCACTCTTCAGTAGCTAGAAAAAAAGTCTTCTCATGTTAAAAAATACTATGGTCCCAGAAGCTAAGCTCCTTGCCTAAACCTTGCAATTTCAATCAGTCCGTGGGTGGTTGGATCAGCCCTAGAGAGCTGGCACAGATAATGATTCCTTATCTCTCCCTTGTAGACACGTCTGAATTATTGCCTGACTCAAAGCAGCTATATCTCCTTCACCGCTGCCTCTGGCATGCAAAGCATCTGCAGTTGCCTCCTTGAAGCTACTGTGTAAATACAGCAGTACATACTGTACATTTCAAGCCCAGCCTGTTTATCAAGCCTCTTTCTCAGAGGCTCACATCATGAACAAGCAGTCTCCAATGGTATTTTCTCAGCTGAGAGGACTTTAGACATAAGATGAAGTTATTGACGGGGTAAGAAAATACCAGTTTTGACAAAAGTTAATTGGGTACCCAGGTTGGCCTCTCCACTGGGAATATATGTCATGTTCTTTCTGTCATTCAGATTACAGTTCCAAAAAAATACTTGAGCACATGAATTTGGCGTAACTGGATCAACATGAAATACAATGGGAAAGCCACCTGTGAGGAGCGTCAGCTGCTGAGTAAGAAAACATCTGTCCTAATTTTCTATTTATTAACTAGTTCTGTGCAAGTTCAAAAATAAAAGCTGCACTACCCCAGTTCTAGAACTACCAGTAAAGATGATAACTTTCATCAGCTAATGAAACAGTCAAAGCAACTCTAATATTTAAAATTGGCATGGTATGTTCAACCTTTATTTCATCATTCAACTCAGAAATTGAGTTAAAACTTGGATTCCTGAGACAGCTGGAAGATGTTAGAAATCAAGAGTTCTGATACTTGAAGGTATGCACATAGTCATCTCCCTAAAACTTACTTCATATTGAAAGCCAAGCACGATGGTACACAGTATAATCCCAGAGTTAAAGAATCCAAGGCAGAAATGACTGACAGAGGTCAGCCTGGCTACAGAGTAAGCCTCAGGTTAGCCTAAAACTCCAACAACTCTGAGAAAAAAAATCTCTGTAAAAGTTGAGAAAACATGCGTGCTTGGTAGGCTTTTGGAAAGAGGGAACCTCGACTAAGAAAATGCGTCTAATCAAGCGGCTGGTAGGCAAGCCTGTGGGACATTTTCTTGATTAATGATTGATGTTGGTGGATCCATTGTATAGTGAGTAGTACAATTGCTGGCCGGGCATTACTGGATGGTATAAGTAAGCCTTGGGCTAGCCAGTAAGTAGCACTCCTCCATGACCTCTGCATCAATGACTGCCTCCTGTCCTGATTTTTCTCTGTGGTGAACAGTCATGTGGAAATGTAGGATTAAAATAAAACCTTTCCTCCTAGAGTTGCTTTTGGGGGTAGTTACTGTTCTATTATACTAGGTATATGTGGTAGTTTGAATGTAATTGGCCCCCATACGCTCATAGGTAATGGCATTATTAGGAGGTGTGGCTTTGTTGGAGTAGGTATGGCCTTGTTGGAGGAAGTATGTCATTGTGGGCACTGGCTGCGCTGGCTTTGAGGTCTCATATATGCTCACAATACCACCAGAGACACAGATAACTTCCTGTTGCCAGCAAAATGTAGGACTCTTAGCTACTTCTCCAGCACCTGTCTGCCTGCACACCACCACACTCCCTGCCGTGATAATGGACTGACCTCTGAACTGTAAGCTGCCATTTCAACTGCATGTTTTCCTTTGCAAGAGTTGGTATGGTCATGGATGTCTCTTCAAAGTAATAGAAATTCTAAGATAGTATACAGCTGAAAAATCCATAATACAGTCTGATTAAGTAAGAAGCTCAATCTGTTTTGTTTTATTTTGACTAATAAAGTCAGAACTAGTATTAGAATAAATCTCTGACGATTAATCTGGACATAAATGAATATTTTCCGGGAAAGTTATTTCTACCCACAGTTTTCCATTTTTATTTCCAGTCCATAGTCTAACAAAGATGCAAAACATGGCCATATGTGAATAATGTCTTCATGTGACAGAGAATGTTCCCTGGAGAAAGGCAAAAATAATGAGAGAGATAATATCAGAGAGAGAGAGAGAGTGAGAGAGAGAGAGACAGAGTGTGTGTGTGTGTGTGTGTGTGTGTGTGTGTGTGTCCTGAGAATGAATGGGTACTGTTGGGATAACAAAAACTATAAAGATAAATCTTGTATGGTATTCCTCCTGGTCAATTCCTCAATGAAGGGCATGAATGCAGAACAGAAAGGCAGAAGGAGAAAATCAACTGAAGCACTTCATTCTCCCCGGAAGGAAGCATGCTCAACACCTTGCCATTCATGGGCACAGTTCTTAAATTAAGTCACAATGCATACCAGAGTTGCCCTTAGCAAGTCCTTAATTATTTATTTTGATTTATCCAAATGTCCTATGACAAAAGAAGTATGAAAAATGCTATAGAAACAGAGTGCAGCCTCCCCAGGCATGGCAGGAGAACTGAGTAATGTGAATGTGTCAGATGCCCAGAGCCCTGGCTTGTACTCTGTCAGTGCTCAGTAAAGGGTGACTCTGATTACAAGGTCCAAAATGATGTATGTCTTAACTATACTTGTACTCAGAGACAGTGAAGGACACATGAGATTTGACTAAACACAGGAATTATACATCTTCCACTCAGGCTTTAGGAGGATAGTGCCTTAACAGGCAACACTTGACGGGCTCACCTCTTCTTCTTAGTGATAATAAGCACATCGTTGAAGAGGAAGAAGTAGACTTGTTGTTTGGACATCCTCTTTGAGAACAGAACGGTGTCTTCCACATAGGCTGTCAACTCCCCTCTTTTCACCAACCACCGGGAAGAGGAGACGAGGGGAAAAGGCTATAAAAAGAGAAAAACTCAGTGCCCACATCCAAGTGAAGGCCAAGAAGACATTATAATCAAAAGGTCAAAAGGTGCATCTGATGAGATGCATCATTACTTTAAAGGGAAATAGTAGCAAAATGCAATTGGACATGGTGCATTCTTCAGGAGAAAATACACATTTATTTTTCATCATGAACACGTATAGCTTTTCCATACAAAAGTGATACTACATGAAAATGTTACTTATTGGGTCACAAAAGTATGATTCTTCTATTCTTCAAGAAGAAAAAAACCCCACAAAACTTATGTTTTGTCTACAGAAATCTACTTAGCCATATTCTTGAAAGCACCTGTTTTTAAGTTAATGGCGTTTCCACTGTGTAAGCACATCGCTGAAAACCTCATTCCACTTTCTGGCCAAGAAAGTGGAGTTCTTCTAAGGAACCCCTCAATCTCACAAAAGAGGCTGCATCCAATGAATTACATTCTGCTTTTACTTTATTCAGTTTTATATAAGCCAACTGGAAAACTCTCAAAACCACAGAATAATTTGCACCCTTTAGAGTCCTTTCCTTTTTTCAAATAAATAAATAAATAAATAAATAAATAAATAAATAAAGTTACTAGGAATGCATACAGCCAAAAAATTTTATTTAAAAACATATATCCATAAAATAAGCAAAACTTCCTAGATACACAGAACACAGGCACAGTAACACAGTCCAGCAGATGCCATCCTGTTAAGTGAAGAATGATTAAAAATTGCTAAAGGAAATTGAGGATATTAAAGAGGAAATGAAGAAGCAAAGAAAGGGTTTCATAGTTTTCCAACTTTATAAAGGGCTTTTATAAGAAGGCTGTTCATCGATATATACAGATTCAACAAGGATGATGAAAGCTTATGGCTAAACCCAAGCTTTTGCAAACTGCCTTTAAAGAGAGGTCCTGGGGTTTCCAGTCGCTTAAATCTGAATCACAGTTATGTAACAGGTACAGCAGAGTCCTGTAAGGTCAACAGAGAAAGGATTGCTTATGATAACTCTGACCAGTGTGCTTAGGAATTGCTACAAAAACACTTGTGCCAGGTTAGGTCCCGATTAGGGCAAGTGCTGGAAGCGCAAGGCTGTCCTTCCACTGCGTGTCAGCCCCGGGTCCCAACCAAGGACAGCCACAATGGTGTTCCACCATCCATGGCACCCTATGGCAATTCTTGTTTAGGAGCTATAGGTAAAGAGTTTTTCATTGCATTGTTGTTTTAAAGTGGACTGATTTTTAGAGTATTTGTATTCCACTAAGAAATAGCAATCTTTCACTTATTCTCCCCAAACTGAGTAACTTTCAGAATGTCTATGCTTCCCTTGAAAACAAAAATGTGATGTGAAGTGTTGTGTGAAAAGCCTCCTCTTTCCACTTCCTCACCCACCCAGTTCCTACACATTGACTCCTGCCTCTATGGGTAATGGCAGATGCTAGATCCTTCTGTGCTTTTCAGAAATTTCTTTGGCAAAAACACTTTTTTTCAACAACTATTTTTTTCCTAACTTAATAATACATATGACTACTTGCATAGGTACCCCAATCATCCATCCTTTGTTTTCCCCAAAGTAGGAGTGGCTCTACTTTGCTTGATATTGATGTGGTCAGTCCTCTAGGATAAATATCTGGATTGTTTCTGATCCACTGCTAAAAACAAACACTACATGATTATGTGATAAACATAACTATGTGATCTTTACATTCACCTGTATTGCTGGTTTGTAAATATGACAGTAAGTTCCAGGACTGTGACAATCCTTGTTACCAGCAGCCTGCAAAATGCCATTCCTATACCCTCACCAATAGAATGTCTTCTCACATTTCTGGATTGTTTGCTACTCTGATACATATCAGCAATTTCTTTATGAATGGAATAAAGTCATTTTTTTCAAAAATAGTCCCTTGCCATTGAGCTCTGGCAGCAGCTTTCTAGCTTGTCATTTCCAGTGTCTGTCCCTTCTCCTTTCCTTGTCACTCTGATTTTACATTTGAGGTATGATATGAATACTATATGAGCAAGGCTACAGATACGTCTTTCCCTTTTGCAAGTTGCCTCTACTTTTTGTCTTTATTATTCCTATATAGCAAGCAAAAGGTTTATAACTTTTCACCTAATGAAAGCATTGTTTTCCCTTTATGACTTCCAGACTTGTTGTATGCTTTAAGATCTTCATTACACCACAGATGATATCTTAACCAAGCACACTTTTTGCTTGTCTGTGCATCCTGATACTTGCTCACGAGCAGTATCAGACAAGTAGTAGCAGGTGGCATGGGTCCAAAAAAGAGTTACATAAGAAAACATGTCTGAACAAAGAATGGTTCGTTAACTATCTTCTCTGCAAAAACAAAGTAGTAACTTACTTGGTTTAGAACACCCTGGTCCAGCCCAGGGAACATCATTATTTAGCAGTGCTTGAGGATTCCCCTTTATCAACTATCAGCTTCAACTATTTTAACTGTTTGATGGTTTCCTGGAGAAGGTCATACCATCATGGCCTGGAGAGAAGCCTGGAGACTCCCCCTAGGCATCTGGGAAGTCCTGTCAGCTGCTCTTTTCAGTTGATAGTGGGCCTTCTTTGAAAAGCTAATTGCAATTTACTTCATTAGATAAGATTTAAGCAACAGTAGTATAATAAACAAGACAGAAGGCTACCTTAATTTTAAATTCCAGCTGGGAATTAATTGTGTACATCATCTCCGTCCTTTCCATCTTCCGTGCTCCTTCATTGCACAGTCGAACCAACTGTGAACACAGTATCGGAGGGTTAAGAAATTTGAAGAGGAACCTCCCTTCACTTTACCTTATATGGCCCATTCTTCCCCAGAAAACTCATTCTCAATTTCAGATCTCTCCCTGAAAATCATCTACTCTCTGGAAGTTCCAGGAACCCATTTCTGATAATTAGGCAACCAGGAGTAAACAATGGGTGTTGGAGGTTGGGTAAAGGACTCTAAGACTTTCAAAGTTTTTTCCTCTGGATTCTACTACCTCCACATGAGGTTTAATCACATACTCTAGGTCTCCATCTATTCTGCTCCTGCCCTCTGCCTTGCTTCATCTTTACCTGAGAGTCCCATACTACCTCAGGGCAAGCTACAGAGCGTCCTCTCTTCCAGACCAGAGCAGCAGGAAACAGACTACCAAATTAAAAGACAATCTAAGTGCAGTGTGACATGTAGAGCATGGGATCACAAAGAGATGCTGGAAGAGGGAAGTCTTGATAGTTCTTCAAGAACACCCAACTAAGAGAAGCTCTGTTCAACTAGAAATATCTGAAAAAAAAAAAAAATGGATTCCTGGGACTTTAATGAATACTTAGTAACTTAGTATATATTTGAGTCACTGGGCAAACCCCATACTTTGCAAATTGTCTTTGAAAGGTAAATAAAATAATGGCTCTATTTAAAGCTGATAAAAAGAAATAATACTTTATAATTAAGTGATATGGGATGTCCATTTGTATGCTGTGAATATGCACTGCTTTTATTGGTCAATAAATAAAGCTATTTCAGCCAATAGCCAGGAAAAATGTAGCTAGGTGGGAAATCCAAACAAAGATGCAGAGAGAAGGAAGGTGGAGTCGGAAGAAGACATCATGTAGCCACCAAAGGAGTAACATGCCAAAGCATCACTGGTAAGCCACAGCCTTGTTGTAATACATAGATTAATAGAAATGGGTTAATCTATAAGGGAGCTAGCCAGTAAAATGCCTTAGCCATTGGCCAAACAATTATATTTAATATTAAGCCTCAGAATGTTATTTCTAAGTGGCTTTGGGGACCCAGAGTGGGAGAGAAACTGGTCCAGTGGAACCAGACAAAACAGAGAAAAAAACGTCCAACTACAATAAAGTGGAGTGAAGATCTTTCCCATTTGCGGAGGAAGCAGGAGATAAGCAGGAAGTTTCTGGCATACTCAGTTTCCACTCAGCTGTGCCCTGTTTTTATGCTACCCACAGGGGTAAACCATATATTCTTTTGTTTTCTCAGTTACCATGTGCCTAACAGCAGCTAAACATACACTTTTCTATCTTCAAATATTAGTATTAGTTCCCTTTCAGCCATTCTTTCTCTTGCTACTCCAGGCCTGATTCCTGAAGCACAAAGCTGTCAGGGGTAGCTGATAGCACCGTTGCACACCCCACCCATTGTTCAACGTATTCCACTGAGGATTCTGTGTCATCTACCTGAGGATGAACCCTGCAAACAGCTAAGTCAGACTGCCTCTTTCTCTCTCGGGGCATCCAGGAGCTGTTTAGTCATTTTCTAGGCTGTTCTGTTTTCCTCTACTCTGGCATGCCTTATTTGTTTTTACGTCTCCTATGCTGGTTTCTTCCTTCCAAATAAGACTAAATATTGGTGTTCCCTGAGATTTTTACCAGGGGCTGCTGTACTTCTATTATGCACCCTCATCCCAGGTAAAACCCTTCACACTCCAACCGCAAACATAGCCTTATGCTGATGGCTCCTGAGACCCAGGTATCCGATCTGTTTCTTTCCTCTGAACTCTTATCCGGAACAGGTTTTATAGGATCAGCATTGCACATCAAGAATGGAATTTATCTTACTATAGTAATAAAAAGAGAAAATGATCCAGTTGTCTAATAAAGGATTATATTTCCTTGACATCTGTCCTTCAAAGTGCTCACCAATTCCAAGCCTTCTGTACATATACATTTACACACACACAACTTCTTTCCATCTTCTCACATGAATGCATAGTTTTATCATCATTTTAGAGTATAGCCCCCAATTCCCTAACATGTGGAACAGGCTCCACCTTTGTCCTCACTCCCCCTCCCTCTCCCTTCTTCCCCCCTCCTCCGGTCTCCTTCCCTCCCCCCCCACTCGCTCCCTCCCTCCCTCCTTCTTTCATTCTTTTTCTCTCTCCCTCTCTTCCTGTCTTTCAATGTGTTCTTCAAATCTCCAACACTTGGATTTGGGTCTCTACACACCCAAGACACTCCTTCCACCCCCTGCTTCACAGTTATTCTTGCAGTACATCTATCTCAGTTAAAACAGCACTCCGTGCTTCCCTCCCATAACATTCATCACCCTTTGTGTAATTCTATTTAATATATGTCTTTCTCTTTATTCTGCCCATAGCATGAATGCAATAACCACACTTGCCTTGTCACCAAATAGCCAGACGCCAGCATTAATCTGGGTATAGTGGTTTATATCCAATAAACATTTGTTGAAGGTGAGAATCAACAACAGCTATTAACACACCAGACAAAATGAGATATGGATGGGCACAAAGCACAAAACCTGTCTGAAACAGTCAACATGCCAATTTATTTGAATATGGCTGTGTGTTTTTAGCAGGCACAGATGTGCTAGACTCTTCCAAACTTTCTACATGGTTTTATGTTATCCTGGTAAATAGTTACCTTGCTCACTTCCTTCAAGGCCCTTTTGCAGACTTCATACTTCGGAGAATCCTTGGGTGTTTTTTGACAGATAGTCTAAGAAGAAATAAAAGAAGCAAAACCAACTGGTCTGTCATATGAAGCAAAATAAGTTACTGTTCAGCTACTTTCTCTTACTCATAAAAGCGCTATTCTTGAACACAATATTAGGGATGAGGATATTAAAACACAACTAACAGAACTAGAAAATATTCTTTAAATACACAAAGCCTAAACCAATTCAGCTAAATAAGAGAGAAGATGTCAGAGATCAGAAGATTGGCTGGCAAATCTCAGATCTGTCTTATGCTAGCTATTTAACTGTGGGCAAGTGACTGGCCATAGCCAAATGTCACTTTCCTCCTCTGTAAAACTTCAGCAATGCCAGATACAACACAGGCTTTTGCAGGAGGCTTGTGCTTTGCCTCATTTTTGTTCCTTGTTCAGGGATCCAACATGACCTCACCCATGCTGAACAGGTGCTCTTCAGAGCTGCCACCCCAGCCCTGTTCCAAGAGTTAAATGGTAAGTGAGCTATACATCATATTTAAGTGCCTGGCATATGGTCATCTCCCAATGAGAGTCCCAACTCTGATGACCAATTAATGATAAGCTAAAATATGACTGTCTGAAATATGAAAACCTGAAATAAAAAATCTTTAAAAATGGAAACCTTTTAGATTGTCAGAATACTGCACATAGAAAACTCCACACCAAGACACTGTTTCATGCACAATATTATTAGATACATATAACTGTCTTTAGAATATGTATACAAGGGATGCTTGAAACACATGAATTTCATGTTTAGTCTTGGGCCCCATTCCCATGACACCTCATTATACAGATGAAAATATTCCAAAACTATTGAAAATGTAAAACACATCTCACTGCAAGCATTCTTAGTAAGAAACACTCAGCTTGTACATATAACTTTGAAAGCTCGAGGAATGAATTTAATTGTTTTAGAATGTCCATCTGCTTCAACAAATTTAAGTAAATTTCCTAATGAAGTGAAATTTAAGAGACAATGCTTGATTCTGCCTAGGTCCTCACATATGGGAAACAGATGAAGACAAGTCATCAGGCAGGGCAGAATATGGTTAATAACTAGCAGGCCCCATGCCTTAACTACCAATGAATGCAGTCCATAAATCTAGAAGTCTGGCGGTGGAACTGCTACATGAGAGCAGTATAGATCACATCATATGTGGGTTTATATTAATGATTCTTCCTTTCAAATGTTTGACCTATTATAAAGAACACATTTATACTACAACTGCTTCCTAAGTACACATAAATTAGGCAAGGTTTTTAGAAACAATATTTAACCACATTATAAGCCATGTATATATCAAATACTTCACATTCTGTTCTGTTGCATTTTAAAAACTCTGGTCATGATTCCAAAATCAATTCTGGCCCCCTTAATAGATTCAAAAGAAATATGAAAAATAATGGGTTATTTCCATGAGGACAGACATCCTTTACTTGAATCAATATGATAAAAAAAAATGTACATAAAATTGTGTGCATACATTAATTATCTCAGAAGAAAGACTACAGCTTCACTCAGAATCTCAAACAGGATTATGACACAAAAGCTAAAGAGTCTACTATGTAACCATGCCATAAACATTCAACATTTTGCAGTTTGGTGTATTATAAACAGGAATACCATTCTGGTCTCCAAGTAGTTAATTAATTATTAATATATTCTATCTTTGCTTTGGAGCCTGTCCTGGAACTAGCTCTGTAGACCAGGCTGGCCTTGAATTCACAGAGATCCATAGACCTCTGCCTCCCGAGTGCTGGGATTAAAGGCGTGTACCACCAAAAGTCCAATGCATTCTATCTTTAGATAGGATAAATACTAATCTAAAAAAAAAAAAAAATCAATCAGATATTTTGAAACTCCAAGTTACTCAATGGGATAATAATGAACCATATATAAGACTTGCAAGATTATTTCTCCTAGGGATGCTGAGGATGTATTAGTAGATACTGCTAATTAAATTCATTGGTACTACATGGTACTGGCATTGGTAGCCATGCTTTTCTCAGAATGTTAACCAGCTGTGACTGTATTAATGCAGGAAATAATTCCCTAAGTTACAGGTGATGGATGACAAGGAGTGGATAAACACAGTTGCCTTAGGTGACTAATAGAGCACAAAGGATGGGTTTATTAACTAACATTCTGAAATAACTGAGAAAGCTGTCACAATTGTGACAGTAAGGAAGTGACAATCATATACTCTTTGCTACACTTTACACTTCACTTTTTTTTTGAGAGTATCTCAGTATTTTACAGTGGAATGTGGAAAATTATGTATCTCCACTAGTTTTAATCCTGTGTTTTGGTCTGTAAAATCAAATACATTAAAACTGATACCATGCCAATATAATGACCCAATTTTAAAGTACATCTGTGGCAAACTGTCCTAATTAGATCAAAAGACACTATCTGCCCACTGGCTAAGCAGGGCCATCACAGACCAGATGGTCTCCTCCCCCTTCCCTCAGCATGCCTTGCCATTATTCAAAGTCAAACTCTTGCTTCCTCTATGACTGTTACCTAATACCAAAAGGATACTGGGCTTTTTATCCCATGTTAAATATGCATGGTAGAGGCTAGTTTATACCTTATCATGTCAGGAGCAACTAGGCCCAAAGCATCTTGGAATGTTCAATCTAAAACAAAGTGACATGTCCAAGGTCTCACGCATATGGCTCAGGCAGAAATGGAATCCAAGCCTCTTGACCTCAAAAACCCAATATCATTCCCATTCCCAAAAAGTAGTTAACATAAGCAAGTTTCACCAGGGTGACCAGTCTAAATTAACAATAAACTCCAGTGATCTCAAATATAGACTTTCTAACTGAAAAACATCCTCTCAGTTAAGGGGTAATAAAAGAGATAGGCATCAATTTAAGCAGAGTAATGGTAAATTAGTTAAACAGATTTGTAGTGGCTAATAGCTACAGGACAAAGTCATTAAATCCTGCCTTACATCCATCAGCAGGGGGAGGCGAGTCACTCTCTGCATGGGGAGAATGAGGAAAGAGATCATGGGTAAGTTCCTGCAGTCTTCATGTGACTCAATCCGTGACAGTACTTCCTTAAAGGAAGGGTTGGTGGCTCTGTGGGGAGATGAAGCAGAAAAAAAAAAAAAAATTAAAAATACTTTCTTTGCAAGCTCAAAAGCAAACAAAAACACATTACCAAATACTAAGGTAAATTCCCACATTACCAAAGATTCTTAAGTACATAAAACCAACATAAAGCATAATATACTGAGAAACACAGGTAGCTTTTCTGTATTTTATATTTAATGCTAAAAATAAGATGTGGTGCCCTATAACAATTTTAATAATAAAATAAACATATGAACTAGACATTTGTAAAACTGGAATGTGAACAAGAGGACACAGTGTTGAAACAGAGAACTCAATCATGAGTTAGCATAAACTGATCAGATTTCATACTTGATCATGTACAAACACACTCCACCAATACAATAATCATGCTTCATACAACTGTTCTGGCTCTGGGCAGACGCAAGAAAGGTATCACTTAGGCAAGATTTTCAAGGGGTGTTTGACCTTGCCAAAGATCCTCTTTCTACAAAGAAAACTATTTTTTGTTTCTGTTTGCTTTGTTGTTTTGGGGTTGTAGTTTTTTGGAGTATGATGCTCTTCAGGCTGCCCTCCAGCCCAAGTCCTAGGATTACAGACATGTCTAGCCAGGAAACCCTTTGGCCACATAAGCCAGAATATTTCTCTTCATCTCCCACTGAGTTGAGAATGGCCCTGATACTGGCATATATCCATGTAGTGTTGCCAGACACTCCATACAGAATCTCAGTGGAGCTGTCTGAAGAACCTTAAAGGGGGATGGGGTGGACATGCCAAGAGAACAATGCTCACAAAGACTAACTTGTCACATGTTTAGCAAAGCAATAGGATGAAGTCACACTGAACTTTTCTAACCCTGTCCCATCTATTTCTCTTCTCACTTTCCTGCTGTGGAAGTTTACAGCATCTACAGTCCTCTTTGCATGGGAAAGGAGGCTTGTAGAACCACAGGACTCTTCAGAACTGGGAAGGAGGACAGTAGCCAAAATGACCTTTTTATTTAAAAAAATAAAAATAAAAGAAGACGAAGAAGAAAACGTGACTTGAAATTCATTAGATGATGTGGTTCAAGGCCACTAAAAATAAAGTGTGAAAAACCTAAATATCAAATTAAGAGGAATTAAATGTCTTATTTTTGTTCTCTCACACTGGAGATCTTTTAAATATACTGTCCTTAATAGTTTCAAGAAGATTTTTAGGAAATGAAAAACAAACTTCATGTAGTTTGCACATTTAAGTGACACAGGTCCCAGGCTCCTCCCACGTCCCAAAGGGTTTGGATTAAGAAGTCTAGGGTGAACTTGAGAATCTTTGCTGGTTGGGTTTGAGGACTTCTGGGGTTTCTAACATGATGCTGAAGTAGAAAGTTCCTACCCCAACCTTGAATGCCCCTAAAGACACAAACACTAGTTTCCATGAGAAAGCTCCCATGATGGTTTGATTAAGGTAATCTACACAAAAATCTATTTTTGAGAGTCACATAAGACATAGCAGTAACTAGTCACATATTAAAAAAAAAAAATTCTGAAAAACAAAATGAAAAGCAATGTCCTCTGTAATTCAGGGCTTTGCTTTCAAGCATGAACATGTATGTTCAGGTACAGGGCCTGATTAGCCCAGTATGGAGTTAAGCAAAATGTAAGGCCAGACAAATCTAGAGACATTTTTGACATCAAGTGGGTAGAAGCCAGGTATCATTCTAAATACTCTGTAAGCCATGAGAAGCCACCACAACAGACTTATCAGGCTTTGAAATCCACAAAGTGCAAGTGAGCCTTTATTCACATGAAAAGACTAATAGCAAGATGCCGGCTAAGGTTTCCACTCTACCCATGAAGCATGACACGGATATGTGGCAGGAGACAGCACAATCACTGTTATCAGGAAAACTGAGGCTGCCTTTGGGTTTTTCGGCTCACTAATAAAATAATTTTAAAATAAACTTGGAAGGGAGTTCAAAGACAATTGCTAATTCGAGAGAAAAATACCAGGGGTAGGCAAGTGGAGATCTCAGCAGGTATTGGGAGGATAGAGATGGAAAAGAGGAAGACAGAGTTATGCCTTTGGCAAAGACAACAGGCAGGGCACTGAATGGCAAAAAGGTAGGCCAGAGTCTAGTTAAGCTCGATTAGAAATGCTAAGCCAAGGAGCTGAGTCAGACGACACCTGATGCCAGGCTCTTGTGTCTCAAGTCAAGTCAAAGCATCCCACAAAGGATATATGTTTATAAAAAGAAATACAAACAGCTTATTAAGAGAGGGAAAGTGATCCCAAGAGTGGGAGTGGGTAAGTTGGATAGTGTTGAGCCTTCAGGAGCATGATTCTTTTTTTTCCCCCCTTTTCGAATTTGAATTAGAAACAAGCTTATTATACAAGTCAATCCTAGTTCTCTCTCCCTCCCCTCCTCCCCTGATCCCCACCAAACCCCATCCCATCCCCTTCCTGCTCCCCAGGTAGGGTGAGGCCTTCCATGTGGGGGTCTTCAAAGTCTGCCATATGTTTAGGAACAGGGCCTAGGCCCTCCCCCATGTGTCTAGGCTGAGGAAGCATCCCTCTATGTGGAATGGGCTCCCAAAGTCCATTCATACACAAGGGATAAATACTGATCCATTACCAGAGGTCCCATAGACTGCCCAGGCCTCCTAACTAACAACCATGTTCGAGGGGTCTGGGTCAGTCTTATGCTGATTTCCCAGCTATCAGACTGGAGTCCATGAGCTCTCCTATTGTTCAGCAGTTTCTGTGGGTTCCAGCCTGGTCTTGACCCTTTTGCCAGGAGCAGGGTTCTTTTGTAGGACATTCATGTAACAACAGCTTCTCCCAAGTTTGTATCTGAAGAGCTGTTCTTACCCATCATGTTTGTCACCAGAAACCCAGGTGGGGGACATTTCCAGTCTTCCTCTCACAGCTAGCTTTATTCCATATGCTAATCCTGATGTTTCAGTCTCTAGGACCCCATTCCCCTAACACATTATCACCATCCCCTTAGCCTCTTCAAAGATCTCACACCTAGCCTGGAGTGACCAGAGGCTCCATGAATGTCACTACTCCAAGGAAATAGTGAGAATAACAATAGCCAGGAAGTCTCGAACTGGGTTTATGGTGGACAACTACAGTATAAAATATGGACTTCGGACAATTGGAGGCTCTAAAAATAAAACAGTATATTAACTGCTCAACAACTGTTGATTCCTGTACCTCACTGTCACTCTCTCAATAATCTTAAAAAAAGGAAAGACAAGTGGCAGGAAACAGAGTGCTAGTCTCCTTATTGTGTGTGGCATAATTAAAATCTCCAAGCTGGTCTTTTTCTTCTGCTCTTTTAAATCCTCCCACAGCAACTCAGCCGATTTACCCATGGAGGGGGAGGGGGATCTTTCAATTCCTGTAAACAGCTTACAGAGGTTAGGAAAGTAAGGGAAACCCTGGATCCTAGTGTCTCACTCTGGCCCACTTAAGAACACCCTCTTGCCCTCTAGCAAACCACTTAATAGCTAGTTACTTGCTTAAGAAAGTGGGAGGTTGAGTGATGATGGGTTGAGTCTCTGGCCAACTAAGGGGTGTGGAAGGGGCCTTGGGGGCCGATGATGACTTCAGCATACTTTTAGTTTGAACTACTGTAGGGAGGAAATTCTCCATATGCAACATCCTCACTCAAAGAGTAACCCTCTTACGCATCATTCAAGGAGGAAACAGTCTACTAGGAGGCAGGTCTATGATTAACTGATCTCTATTAATGAGCTCAAATCAAAAGTAGGTTAGACAATCAAAACCCAAGTATTCAACCCTGCTTACAACAACTTCTGCAGAGTTCTCTGTTGATAGACTTCATTGGTGCAGTATTTCACATAGGGATCGAATGTGGATGCGGTGTGCTTTTCTACAATGTCACTTATATCATCTATAAGGATGTTGTTCTGATGTCTTGCCTCTAACTCTGTAAAGAATCTGGAAAAAAAAAAAAAAGAAAAGCATTTATACTTCTTTAAACTTCAAGAAACAACAGTTGTGTTCATATAGGGTTTAAAAATAACACTACACAATATTTAAAGAATTTTTTAGCAGTCCATCGCCTTAACCACTCGGCCACCTCGTCTAAAGAATTTTTTAAAAATAAAACAATCCCCCTCTGAAGAAAAAGCAATGGAAATTTTTTCTGAACTTAAACCTATTATGCACATTATTGCTTTAAGCTTTTATCTTAAAACATTCGTAATTCTGGATATTTCTCTGCCTTTGAGGACATTTTAAAAATAAACAGATTTTTTCCCTATATCTTTAAAGCTCTCCCCGATGGAGGAGGGAGGGCCAGGCTTACAGATTGTCTTGCCACTTACGGGAGAAGTATGGTGATGCATGTTCATAATCCCAGCACTGGGCAGGTAAAGGAAGGAAAATCAAGAGTAAAAATATAACCTAGACTGCCTAGCAGGTTCTAGGCCAGCCTCTGAAACACATGTGAGGCCCTGTCCCCAAAACAGACAAGAGGAGGAAATGAATACATGCAAAGCACCAAGTGAATGCTGACAAAAAGAATTTGAAAAGAACACAATTCACACTCCCTTGCAAAATAAAATTGTTATTTTAAATATATTAATATGCACAGTATTTAATATGCTCACAACTTAATTAGGCTACAATTCAGAGTAATTAGATCTTGTATAGGAGACAGATGGAATAGTAATTTAGGGTTGCCTGATTAAGTCATTACACACAAGAGTATAACCACTGGCTATACAATCATTGTTGATGGTTCTTGTGGCTACCATGACTGAATAATCTCATATAACTATCTGTTTGAATCTCTGCTTTCAAATCTTTGTGGGTACAAACTGGGAGACTGGAATTCAACAGCAAGAGTGTATACACCAAGGCCTGACCATGTACTACCAAGAACCAGTATATAAGAATCTGGGTTATATGCCAGGGAAAATTAACTCACTAAATGAGAGCTGAGAAAAAAAATGTTCCTTCCCCTCTGGACACTCACAGTAGAGGCTGATGGGAAGCACATGGGGGGGGGGAGCAATTACCAAAAAGCAGAGGTGTGGTAGAATAAAAATAAATAGATACTTGGCTTTCTTTCCTAGTGTTTTGAACTCAGCTCTTTAAAAATCTTGGGATTTGCATTCCAATATACTTCTTTTCATATGCTGAGGAGGCACTTAGAGGTTGGAGAAGCCTAGGTAAATTCAGGACTGAGGCTGACAAATAGATAAACCCAGCCAGCTTTACGAAATTGCAACTCTCAGGCTCTCTCCTGACCTCCAAGGAAGGAAGGAAGCTGAACTTCAGGTTCATTTACCAAGCGCCTGTGGTCTAGAATGCCTACCCAATAACACCTTTTACAAAGACCCTTAAACAACAGGCTTCAAGTTTTCTAAGAGAGCCAGATGCTGGGTGAGTGACAGGCCTGGAGAGGATATGGAGGCTCTGGCTGTGTCACCTGCATCATTTCTCGCACTAAGTATCTCCTCATTCGGTTCTCTCTGAAGTCCCTCCCTTCTTAATGAGCTAGTGATGATAAGAAAAATGCCTTCCTGCATTCTGTGGGCTGCTCTAGAAAACCAGCCACGAAGAAAGAGAGGAGGTTTGAAGGAGCCCTCCTTAGCTTTGTAGCTAAGGAGGACAGAGATGCTGAGAACTGGAGGAGACCCAGTAAAAACTCCAAAGGTGAGGTGACTAACTCCAAGGTAAGTATAAGTGAGACCAAGAGCTGGTCAGTCATCCCTGAAAATAAGACCCAGCAGTGGAAGGAGAGGGGAGAAGAACCATGTGGCTCCAGTCTCTCATTCAGGAAATGGGGGAAGTTTACGGGGCTGAAATGCAAGCCACAGAATAAATAGGCAGACAGAGAAGCCTGCAGAGCAGATGAGAGCTACTGCAAAGGTTTGGCTGTGTGTGACCCCAAGAAGGACTAGAGAAGGCAACCAGTAAGTCATCAGTCATAGGTAGAAGTGGGACAGAGAGAAGTTACAAGACAGATGGCCAGCAGGCCAGGAAGGTGGACAATACAGAGAGGGAACACAGATTGGGCAACAATTTGGAGGTAAAAAGAACAGAATTGAGAAACTCAAGGAAGATTCTAGGGTTGCTGAGAAAGGGTTCCATATGCAGAACAGGTGGCTCATTAAACCCTGAAGGGAGACAGGGGCTTTAGGAGGAAGGAGAAGCAGCAAGGAAGCTGTTCATTCCGCCTGGGTGATGTCTAATGGACAGTTGAAAACATGCATCTGTGAGAAATCAGAGGCACTGGAATTCTAGGCACAGCCGGGTGAGGGCCAGTTCATTTTTAACTGATTTCATATAAATGCAAATATGTACAACTTATTTGAATCCAACTGTTTTTAAGGAAATACTCAGAGAAAATTGATAAAAGAAGCTACTATAAGTAACCATCATGTAAATCTAGGTTAGTATCTAACAGGTAGATATCCTTTATATCTACTTGCCTTCTGCAGTTAACAGCCTAAAGAATGCAACTACTAGGCATAATAATAATAATAATAATAATAATAATAATAATAATAATAATAACTTTACCTCCCCTAATGAAAAGGAAAATTCCCTTTATTACTTGAAAAAGTTTGCCAAAATACAGGATTAAAAACAAGGTACTAATGACATATCTGTTCATGAAACTGACTTTAATACAATATAAACCAAACTATACACCCTTTATTTTGATATTAGCATAATAAGGAAATAACTTAAAGCTTTTGACATTAAAAGGTCTATTTATTATTTGGAAATTTGTATACTTTGCTAATCAAGCTGAGCTGCAAGAAAATCGGTATATTTCTGAAGGAGGAGTTGGCATCTCAAATCAAACACAGAACTGCAGGGAAGGAAAGCACTGAGGTTCTGAAGGAAACTGGACCAAGTTTAAGAAGCAATCTGGCAGACAGCTCTGGAATGGAAATTTGGACTTTGGTTCTATGAAGTTTCTTCCCTCTGCAACAATACTGTATTCTTCCCTCCTTACAAGTACCACCAGCCAGACTGTTTTACAGTTATTAACCAAGCTGCAGAACCACCACCCCCACCTCCAGCACTGACAGTCTACATCATGAAAGACATCAGGGGGTCAAAGGAGTCTCCTCCAAACACCTCCCTAACCAGAAACACTAGCTCGCCTGACCATGTGGCTGTTAGCATGCCATAATAGAGTATTTCATTTTGCCAGATTCCTCGGTACTTCCAAAGACTACAGCCTTTTCAGGCAAGTTCCTAGGCCAGCAAAGATCCCAGCTCAGCCTCAGTGGGTAGGAGTCCCCAAGAATTCAACTAAAGAATCTGTGTGAAGAAAGCCTGATGTAAAACATACTCCTGGTGCATAACCCACCCCTGAACTTTTCCCAGAACCCATTCTCAGCATTCCCCAGAAGCACAGGAGCTAGATAGTCTTCAGTCTTCCCAGGTTGCTTTCTTATATATGGCACCATACTTCCAAGGAGGAGACAAATTCAAGGGTAAAGTAGTTGTTTCCTGAATGCACAGTGTCTGTGCTTACTTTAGCTTCCTTTGCCCTTGTAAAAGAGGCAGAATAGAACTATGAATGTGATACAGCAATGGCTTGCAGCCCATTATTGAACAATAGATTTCTCAATGAAATCTATTCCATTCAGAAATAGGTGGAACTGAAAATTTTTATGCTGAGTGAGGTAACCCAAACCCAGAAAGACAAACACCATATGTCTTCTCTTATTGTAGATACTAGCTCAAAATCTTTAGATTGGAGAACATATACATATGGAGAGAGAGAGATAGATAGAGAGATAGATAGATAGATAGAGAGAGAGAGAGAGAGAGAGAGAGAGAGAGAGAGAGAGAGAGAGAATTTATAATCTGAAATATCCAAAGAAGTCATTCAGGAAAACAGAAAGGGATTGTGGCGGGGATTGGGGAATATGGTGAAGACAGAAAGAGCTCCAGAAAGGGGAATAGTAGGAGGCAGGTCCTATGAACATGAATGAGGTAATATAAGAATAGAGGGCTTTAATTTGGAAGGTAGGGGAAAAGGTAATACGAGAAAAAGGAGATAAATAGCAATGATGTTTGAAAGAGTCATAGGGCTACATATTATTTTATAAGCTTAATTTTAAAAATGTGTGGGGTGTGTATGTGTGTGTGTGTTGTGCTTTAATGGAGCTATGCCACGTGGAATGACAGTCATGAATTATTGAACAAAAACCCCAGTGCCAGGTATGAAAAACCTCCCTACCTTTCCAGCTGCTGGTTGAAGGAATGCATGCCCTCCCCCCAAAGCAACATTGATTATAGTCACTACCATTATTTGCCTTCCAGAACTTATAGTTAATCCCCTGCTGCTGAAGATAACACACACACTGGACACAGAACTTGAAGGAATCAAGCTGGAACTGATCAGAGGCCATCTTAAAAGGGACAAGGTCTTAGAGGATTTGAAAGTCCTATGTAAGCTGCGAAGCAGTGGGCAATCTTCAGTGGTAGAACATTGGTACTTGTTTATTGGACTTCAGGCCTTCTCAACAGGATGGAAGTCATGCCTGGTACTGTAAACATAGCCAGCTACCCATGGTGGAAGAGGTCATAGATCTGAGAGGAAAACTTACTACTGCCATTTTCCTAAACCAATGTAATTTATTACTGCATTCTAGATATATATACCCACAGATAAGTGTAGCTTTCACCCCTCCTCATCAAGAAAGCTTCCTTTAATAATAAATAGAAACTACTGATTAAATCTATAATTGGTCAAAGTGTAGAGAAGTCATTTCTGGAAACCCAACCTCCACTAGTAAATCCACAATGTAATTCCTACACCCAAAGCTCAAGGAAAATTGAGAAAGAGGGCTCAGAAAGGCTCTAAGACCCAAAGGCCCAGGAAGCCTGTTGCTAGGTAATTTCTCCTACAGATGACAAGGAAAATACACCCATAAAATCTCAAAAATATGGCTTCTTGAACA